TTTTTTTTTTTTTTTTTTAAGTTTATTTTTGTTTATTTTGAGAGGGAGAGAGAGGAGAGAGAGTGGCAGAGAGAGAGGGAGACAGAATCCCAAGCAGGCTCCACATTGTGAGTGCAGAGCTCAATGCGGGGCTCAAATCCTTGAACCGTAAGATCATGACCTGAGCCAAAATCCAGAGCTGGTTGCTTGGGGCGCCTGGGTGGCTCAGTCGGTAGAAGTGTCCGATTCTTGGTTTCAACTCAGGTCATGATCTCGTGCTTTGTGAGATCAAGTCCTGCATCAGGCTCTGTGCTGACAGTATGAAGCCTGCTTGGGATTCTCTCTCCCTGTCTCTCTGCCTCTTCCCCATGTTCGTTCTCTCTCTATCTCTCTCCCTCTGACCTCTCTCAAAATAAACAAACTTAAAAAAGAGTTGGATGTTTAATTGACTGAGCCACCTAGGCGCCCCAAGAGATGAGTGTTTAATTGTAAACAGGAAGTAAAAATTGCATAGGCCCATGGTGGGCTCATGGCAGACCCAACGACTACCAGCAGTGCTCTGTTTCCCATTCCTTCCCTCTCTGTTAACTTTTCATTTATTTACTGCTGTTAACTCCCTTCTTTTTCATTTGGATTTCTCTGCTTTCCTACTTCCTATCCCTTTTTCATAAACAAACCACTGGCATGTTTCTGGTTTTCTTTTTCCTCATTAAAGTAACTCACATCCTCCAAGTGATAATGCTGTAAGGGAATTAACCCTCAAAGCTAGTACATTCTGGGTTTCTTATTCTTACTGAATAATATATCCTACGGATTGTTTTTTTTATCTTTCATGTTTGTTTTTTTGACTAAATGTATAAGCTATGATTGTATAGGGACAACATCTTTCTTGCGAAAGGCAACACTGGCCAAGATTTGGCTCCTGACCTATATATAGCCTCTTATTTGAGACATACTAATTGACTCTTTGTAGTTGTTGGCCCTGGCTCCACATTCCCCATGAAAAATTTCAGTCTGGATAAATGATGAAATAGGCTGATAAGACGAACAAGGCTCTAACATGTATTTTTAGTTACCATGGGGCATTAAGTAGCTTATTGGGTCTGCAGCTTGGTGGCCTGGTTTGTAGGGATCTGTGTATGCATTCATTATTTTTGTTTAGTGGTGTAATAGGTAAATGACAAAAAGTCCCTTTTAAAGAAAATCCTATTATGTTGTACTTTTAAGATACAAGATAACTTCTAGACCCTTAATATTTTAGCATAGAGGTCTTTTCTGCTTTCGTTTATCCTATCTCATAAAAAAAAAGGTTCCTGAGACATGTATCTCTGACATTTGGATCTTTGTATATTTAGGGTGTCTGTGGTTCTAAACACGTGTAATGTGAAATAAAAGATATTGTGGCAATAAATAAAAGCATAGATATATATAGTTGTGTATAGGTCCAGATACACATATATAACAGTGTTGTACTGGTTAACCAGCTGTAAAACAAAACAAAACAAAAAAATTAGCCGTGATTTATAGTGTTTGTCAATTTGTTTTTGGTAATTTTACTGTTGCTAATTTCAAGCTACTAGTAGTTTAATAACTAACTTGCAAAATTCCTGAATATTTCCCATTTGGCTCTTGCTAGCTGATATTAGCCAGTGTTAGCACCCAAATTGCTGCTAGTAAATTATATTTTACCTTTAATCTTTTTATTCTCTGTTTCAGCTCGGATATATAAGTAGAGTGACAGCAGGAAAAGATAGCTATCTAGCTTTGGTGGACAAAAATGTTATGGGATATATTGCCAGTCTCCATGAGTTGGCTACTACAGAAAGACGGTTCTATTCAAAACTAAGTGACATCAAATCTCACATCCTCAGGCCTCTTCTTAGTTTAGGTAAGTAGAATCTCCCCTGAACTCCCTCAGTTATCAGGACTCTTACCTGTTCTTCCCGTGTCAGAAGTAAAAAAAACTTCTTGAGTCATGGTTTATTCCTTTCTTTCCATTCTCTTATTTTTTTTAAGTTTATTTATTTATTTTGAGAGAGAGAGAGAGAGAGAATGAGAATCCCAAGCAGGCTCCACACTGTCAGTGCAGAGCCTGACGTGGGGCTTGTTCCCATGAACTGTGAGATCATGACCTGAGCCAAAACCAAGAGTTAGACACTCAACCAACTGAGCCACCCCAGGTGTCCTGTCCATTCTCTTATTTTTGTACACAGGCAGTCAACAACTTACAAACTGTTTGCACTTTGTCAGTAGCCCGGCTGCCCCTAAGTATTCTACCACTCCCACAGCTCTTTGTCCTTGTGGAAGTAAGATGTGGCACTTTCAGGATATTCATGGCAGAGAAGCAGAACAGCTTTGGGAAAGTTGATCCTAGGAACTAGACTTCTAAACAACACTTCTAGCCCCACGAGTCCTAAGATAGCTTACATTATACTACCTGAATTTTTCTTTTTTTTTTTTTT